TCACGTGTGTTATTATCTTTCCATCGTCTCCGTCACGTGTGTTAGTATCTTTCCATCGTCTCCGTCACGTGTGTTAGTATCTCTCCATCGTCTCCGTCACGTGTGTTAGTATCTCTCCATCGTCTCCGTCACGTGTGTTAGTATCTCTCCATCGTCTCCGTCAAGTGTGTTAGTATCTCTCCATCGTCTCCGTCACGTGTGTTAGTATCTCTCCATCGTCTCCGTCACGTGTTAGTATCTCTCCATCGTCTCCGTCACGTGTGTTATTATCTTTCCATCGTCTCCGTCACGTGTGTTAGTATCTCTCCATCGTCTCCGTCACGTGTGTTAGTATCTCTCCATCGTCTCCGTCACGTGTGTTAGTATCTCTCCATCGTCTCCGTCAAGTGTGTTAGTATCTCTCATCGTCTCCGTCACGTGTGTTATTATCTCTCCATCGTCTCCGTCACGTGTGTTAGTATCTCTCCATCGTCTCCGTCAAGTGTGTTAGTATCTCTCATCGTCTCCGTCACGTGTGTTATTATCTCTCCATCGTCTCCGTCACGTGTGTTAGTATCTCTCCATCGTCTCCGTCACGTGTGTTATTATCTTTCCATCGTCTCCGTCACGTGTGTTAGTATCTTTCCATCGTCTCCGTCACGTGTGTTAGTATCTCTCCATCGTCTCCGTCACGTGTGTTAGTATCTCTCCATCGTCTCCGTCAAGTGTGTTAGTATCTCTCCATCGTCTCCGTCAAGTGTGTTAGTATCTCTCCATCGTCTCCGTCACGTGTGTTAGTATCTCTCCATCGTCTCCGTCACGTGTTAGTATCTCTCCATCGTCTCCGTCACGTGTGTTATTATCTTTCCATCGTCTCCGTCACGTGTGTTATTATCTCTCCAGCGTGTCCGTCAGTCACTTCTCTGGCCGTCGTCAGATGTAAGTGAGTCTTAAGGAGGGCTGAATGGTGTTTCTCAGACTTAATGGGACTTGATGAGGGCGGCAGAATGCTCTGGTCGAAGCGTTTTGCAGATACTAACACACCGGACAAGGACGATCAATCATTTCATCAATCATCACAGTCGTTTCATCCGCGGTGCCCACAACTTGTCTCAATCTTGCCGTATAGGTTAGATGGGTTCAGTCACTATATTAGAGTGTTGCTATAGCCAACACTTAAAGCTTTTTACGATGCTAGAATAAGGCTTAGCAGTGGCCAGCAGTGGTTATGTCATGAACCTAACGGTCGGTTTTTGGATGTTTATAGGGCATTCCCATAATCGTTTAAGATCTGGTGATGCAACTGTAGTTATTTCCTGGAGCTCAGTCTAGAACTGAGTTATAGATGTACCCGTTTGCTGCTCAAAAGGAAGAAATAGGTATGTCACGAATTCAGCCATCAGCAGAACTATGAGTCATAAAAAATGCGTCAGCACTTCATATACAGTAAATCCGTAGGCTTTATGCTGCATAGAAGGAATGCTGTTTGACCGCAGGCGAACCCCAGCCGTCCCACGGCGGTCCCTATCTGGTAACATGTAGCGATTCAACCGGATCATACTCTGGAAAAGTGCAACTCAAGGGATGTTGTTTAAAACGTTTTGGCCATAATAGGAGGTCCAAGAAATGAATTGGGAGGGAGATCTGAACAACATATTTCATCCACAAAAGTACAGGTTTTGACGTTCTGAGGATTTTAAGGACTTTCACAGACTTTGTCTCTACCTTAAGGAAGCCAAGACAGACATTGGGGGCCAGCACCCAAAGGAGGTCACCTGAGAGATTTCAGCATCTTCTGACCAGGGTATCTGGTCAAAAATTCATGGGAGGGCCAAGAGGTGCACGGTACCATTGGCTGCCGATGAAGACCAAGCGCCATGCCATGAAAAGAGCGATGAAAAAGGGGAAACACTGGTGTCCCTGGGGAGCACTGATCGCAAAGCAATCATATCTTCATTTCATGGTTCGTGCTTTCCTTTCATCTGGCACGCTGCAAGGAACCCGGTTGGAGACACGTGGTTTCCACGCGGGCTCTTCGTCAACCGGGATGGTTGTGAGCCCTAGGAACTCACGCACGTCCTCGCGCGGCCAGATTTGGCCAGCTTCAGGCAGAAGGCAACGACGTGATCCTCGGTGGAGGGAAACGTATCAGCTACTGCCGGTTACGAGTCAGGTACAGATATTCACTAGTCATGAGTGCAAACTTAGTCCGATCACCGTGTCTCCATCTCCTCTTGAAGGTTTGAGCAGAGATATCTGGCCACGAAAGCTGACTGAAGAACGTGGAGGAAGCCACCACCTTGAAGATATGGTGAAGACATCCCGAGCAAAGGATCGGTCGCACAAGCTTCTGTTGAAGACGCGTGCATGTTCCTAGCACTTGTTCAACGTTGTTGGAGGTGCTGTCGAAGCTCATTCCAATGATCTTATTCGAGACCGCCCAGTATTCCAGAACATGTGAGAAAGCGTCGGCTGTCGCTACACCAGTTCCAATTGAAAGCTTCGGAATTCGAAGGAGTTTGGCGACGCCTCCTGGACCGGCTGCAATGAATAAGAGCCAATCCAGCCTTTCCGTTGGGTAACAATTTCTCCGACCAGAGCACTCCGCGCTGGGTGATGCGGTTGAAGAATGCCGGATTTCTTCTGCAATGGTTCTGCTCTGCTATTCGGGCAGCCGCTTGATCAATTTTCTTTTGGTCGCCAGTATAGGGGACCCGTAGCCGAGATCCAAGAGATGAGGGGAGGGTGAGGGCAGAATCGCAGAGCGATCATTCAGCTTGGTCCGATCGAGGGCTGCTGCCAGACACGGAGTAAGGATATCTTTGGCTCTCGAGCACAGTCCTTCCGCGGCAGAAGATACTGGGAATGGCTCGAGTCCTCATCACCCGTCGCTTGCTCGCTGTCGGTGGACGAGAATTCCGGCTGAACAGTTGCCTACCGTACCCGAATATTCCCTTCCCCAAGCCGTCCAAGGCATCTGCGCGTTACCGACGCGACGACTTGTGTTAGATTGTTCAGGCCTTACGTGACAACGGCGAATATTGATGTGTAGTGAGTAATGGAATTTGGCACAAAAAATGACAAATGCATAAATTTGACAAATGTCAGAATTTCATCAAAGCATGTCAGTGAAAACGCACTTTTTAAGAGTTGAGGAGCTTTGAGTACCGCAGTGATGCATGTACAAGCATGTTAGATCATTGCTGTGATTTCTAAATACCTTACATACCTTTTTTGATTTGAGCACGTATCGTGGTGATGAGCCTTTGTGGACATTTGTTATATCCCAAATGTTCATGAATACCACTAGCATGAATTGCATGCGTGTCATGGCGTAAAGGCGGACATGGCGTAAAGGCGGACATGGACATGTCAATGGCGTAAAGGCGGACATGGCGTAAAGGCGGACATGGACATGTCAATGGCGTAAAGGCGGACATGACGCTCCACCAGGCGAGGCGCCGGCAGATCCGTGGCATCACTCCGCCCAGCGCGGACACCAGCGTCGCATCGCAGCCAGGCCTCTGTTCGGGTTCTTGCGCTTATCTCGACCGTTCCAACTCCTGTCACATCATTCTAGGCTGCTTGCTACACAATTGGCAGCATTTAGCGTGCTGTGGATCTTCCAGCATTCGCTCATGTCACCGTGTCCGCCCCTCAGCCAAGCGTCGCAAACCAGCGCGGGTTTGCATGTCCGTATGCCTTTCCCGGCCTGAAACAAACGGTCGGCGAGCAGCCGTCGCTCCGTAGTTGAGGCGTCATTTCCTTGGAAGTCGCCAGCCTCACCCCAGCTGCGCGCTGACGGCTCGTGCCGGGCGCCCATTGGATGGGTGCGAGTCTGGTCCGATCAGCAATGGTCATGACTGGCTCACATGCTCGGCATGTCCCGCTCCAGGTTGCCCGGATCGAAGGATGGCCGAACACGTGGCACGCTTGCACGTGCACACCTGCACGTGTGCAGTGTATACCGCTCCCTTTTTGCGGCGTGTCGTGGCAACGCGACAGTCTTTTTGTGGGAGAGCTACGCGTGCCGTCCTGCCCCCGTTTCCTGCCTTATCTGCAGGACGTCTGACTTGAGGCATACCCAAAAACGTCCCATAAACTCATCCGTCGACGCGCTTGCTGTTCCTGTCCGCGGGATGTCAGGGGCGTCAGGGGGCAGTCCGTGTGCGCGTGATACACTTCCACACCTTCGCCTCCTTCATCCCCCTTGGTTTGTCGCGGTACTTAACATAACCCCTGCGTACCACGCCTCCACGCTTGTCCGCAGCGCCATTGGGGCGCCACGGAGCCTGCGGCGGGCCCGAGGCAGCCCGGTTCGTGCTACGCCCGCGCGTGCCACACCTCCACGCTTGTCCGCAGCACCATCGGAGCACCACGGAACCTGCGCGGGCCTGAGGCAGCCCGGCCCGTGCCATGCCTCCGCGCACGCCTCTGCTGCCCTCCCGGTGTTACGGCATCTGTCGCCGGCCGGGACAGCCCAGCGCGTGCCGCACCTCGCTTGACGCGCTCTTGACGCCAGGCGGCGGCGGGCGGTGACGTTCGGCCGTCGGAGACCAGCTCGCGTTACCTAATCCGGGCCGGGTCTGCACTCTGCAGTCGTCCGGCCCGCCACAGTCGGCCCGGCGCGCCCGGCGTCTCCTGACCCGCCCCCAGTCCCGTAGCAGAGCCAGCGTCGCATCAGCTGCTCCTCGTGGCTGGTCAGGCCCGGCACAGTCGGCCCGACGCGCCCGGCCTCTCCTGACCCGCCCCCAGCCCCGCAGCAGCGCCAGCGTCGCGTCAGCCGCCCCTCGTGGCTGGTCAGGCCACGGACAGGACCTTCGGCCGCGCTCAGGTCCCAACCCGACCCTGACCGCGTTGAACACAGGGCTGCCAGCGAACGAATCGCGCCCGTGCGAAGTGACCCGGGACTTGGTCTGGACGAAACACTGCGGCCAGGCAAGCGGCGCCCGGGACCCGATCTGGGCCGCGACTCGGAGGTGACCTTGCAGTGACCGGAGCGTGACCTGGCGTGCCCGCAGGTCACGTTCACGACGCGTGACGGCCAGTTCCAGTCCTGTCATGAGCCGCACTGGTCGCCGATGAGGAAGGTGCCTTCTCTCAGCGACCTCAGCGACCAAGAGGCTTCTCAGGGTAAGTCATCAGCCTATTCCGGTTAGGGCTGACAGGGTAATAGTGACAGTTGACGGTGTGACCCTGAGGGTGCATGTCGGATCGATGTGCCAGCGGCGACGTTTCACGTTTGTGTAGGATTGTGATTGATTGATTGATGTGTAGGATTGTGAGACGTGCTAGCGGACTTGAAGCCCACAGAGAAAAATCCACAATCATTACATTATCGAGACCCAAAATGCATTGCCTTCTTAGCTTGATTTCAATTAAATGACGGGTTATTGGGCATGCCGAAACTGACGCGAAACCGAGAAGTGTCACGTGACCAGAAATGACTACACCAGCGGCCAATGCCTTGCCGCCATCCCCCGTTGCCGGCCAGTGATTGGTTGAGTGTGACGTCAGGCACGGCATGACCAAACGTGGCCGAGTCATCTCACTCGAAAATGTGTTATTGTCCGGCATTTCTTAACAAATAGAGAGAGGACGGTCATGTCCGGCGCGAGCTGACTTATTAGGATTCGCCCTTTTCTAATTTCCCCGTAAGGTGTCACATGTTACTTTAGGTATTATCAGGCAGGCTATGTCTTAATTATGAAACGAGAAAGGAGATTGCCTTTGCACCCTTGTGGGAATTTCGCGCTTCTTGTGATTGGTGTCTGCAATCGCTGACATTTAGGCGGAAAGATATTCGGGGGGAGTGCATACGTAAGCGAGGACGTCCGTCCGGCGCAGCTTGGAATACTTGGTTACTCGTCACTGTCGGAGGCCTTCTTATTATCCCACATATGATCACATTACACGTCACGTATAACGTACCAACCTCCCAAAATGTTCGATAACCTCGGGCCCTCTAGCACGCCTAATAATGACCACGTTATTTTAAAACTGACAAGAAAAGAAAGATATTTTCGTCGTCGGAAGCACGCTCTAATGTAAACAAAGGTCAAAGGTTTATATTGGGCTCATGTAAAGCCAGGTCAAGGTCACGCCGGACAATTCATCCGGGCTACATGGAATCCACACGTCTTAGACCCACGACCTATTGAGACCTATCAAGGTTGGGAGAATTGTCATTTGTCTGGAAAACGTGTCCGATTTACTGATCCCTGTATCACAAATGGGCAGCACAAATCATCTGAGCCCAGCATTTGTGATTTGGCGCGAACACTCGATGTACTCTGTATCTTAACGTTGATGCCGATAGATACTCGGCCAACTCAACGGGTACATTACAGCCCAAAGAATCAAAACTAATTTAAAATACGAAGAGATTTTTCGGATTGCTCTCACGAGCACTACATGGAGCCAATGGGAGCGTTAACTAATCACGTGCGATACCTGTTACCCAACCTAGCAGCGGTATTCTTATTGGCAATGTATCGATCGCCAGACATCGATAATTTGTTGTTCTTGTCTGGGGCGGCTTCGAAATTAATCCAGATAATGGGAGGTGGGTAAACGTCTCTGCTTTCGTCTCCGCTTGCATTCTGCTTTTAGGCGGTCTCGGTTAAGGGCGTGACAGACGACGCCCTCAAATTTGGGAAAGCATATTTATTAACGGACTCTCCACAACCCTAAGCAAGCAAACTCTTGCACAATCCTTGAATTATTAGGTGATGGGCGGTAAGCACTATAGATGTGGTTGCATCAATGTGTTCGTGTCTTTATGGCGTTTTCATTATGGATACATTTTACATGCTTCATAGTAAAACTAGCATTTCGTCTTACCTAAATTGGTTATACTTCATTTGTCTTCTCCGTACTACAAGAATCTGTGAAGGTAGTAATGCTCAGTGGTCATCCCTTGATACTCAATACCTATTTATTGTGTCGTTTATATTTCTCCAGCATTGAGATAAGATCTCAAAACGTATTGCCCGAACTGTCCTAGATCTTAAAGATACTGCTATGTGAAAAGCCCGGAAACTCGAACGATGCGTAGAAAAGCTCGTCAATGCTGAGTCAGCGGTCGTTTTTAATCAAACACTCATAAGTGAAAAAGCTGTGCCAAGAGAGAGAGAGAGAGAGAGAGAGAGAAAGAGAGAGAGAGAGAGAGAGAGAGAGAGAGAGAGAGAGAGAGAGAGAGAGAGAGAGAGAGAGAGATATATATATATATATATATATATATATATATATATATGAATGTATATATATATATATATATATGTATATTTATATGTATGTATATCTAGATATGTATCTATATTTGTATATATATATATATATGCATATATATATATATATATATATATATATATATATATATGTGTGAATCCGTGGTGGTTTATTTTAAGTTGCATGTACCACCGTCTTCCAAAAACTGGGCAGTTGGGTATAAAATACCATCGTTCACCGCTGGAGCCGCCGGCCTTCAGTTGACTTAATGCTGCTGGCTCTGCCGCTACGTGATCGTGCGGTTCCCGTGCTTCTTATTTCTCTAAAGTCCAGTGGCTTTTCCAAGTCCGTAAGGCCAATGTCGTGGCCGATTGTGGCGTCTTCATCAGAGCCAATGTGGCCGCGCCGGTCCCGTCTAGAGAAGCTGTCATCTCGAAGCTGTCATGTAAAATTAATTCCGTTCTGTGGCATGGTGTACCCACCTAAGGGCACCACACACCATGTAAGAGCCTGAGTTTGGTTCTTGAATACGGATAATGGCATTGCGGCCTTTGTGACGCACTCAAATGGTGTGAAGTGTAAAGTGAAAGCGTCCAACATATCACTATGCTACCATCGTATGACAACTTTTTCCGCCTATATTTTTGTGTCGTGTCCAGTGTAAAAAACAGAGGAGACGTCCTAGGACTTGAAATATCCAGACTTTCTGATAGTGTAAAGCCATAAGTAGATGCATGCAATTTTATGAGACATAGCCTTAGTTTACTGGAATGAGGAATCAGAATGAATTCTCCAGTACATTTCAGTGATGGGCCAATTTAAAATCTACCATTTCCTTCTCATTTGTAGTCGGAAATTGTCACAGCAGCGTTTAAGATGTACTTTGGTTCTGTAGAAATGACATAGCCCAGATGGTTTGATCCCACCGCCCTACCAACAATACTAGTATTGGGCTAATAACGTTATCAGATCACACTGGCATAATATATGTTATGCATACTTCATGTAGAACTATAAAATTCAGAAATATGACGAAATACATATTACACTTACTTTGATACTCGCGGGTTAATGGTGTCAGCATTGTGGCTCGGCGGGCTTTTACGGGCCGAGGCTCTAGCTAGCCTGGGCGGGGCGAACTGCGGGCCGGATAGTTTGGAAAAAGCCACGTCTGCAGTCGGGCTAAATTGCCCAAGCTTTCGATGAAAGTATATTTTCTGGCGTGGCATTTCGCTAGATACCGTGTTTCGATACTTTCCATGCCAAAACATTGTTACAGCGCTGCCTTCTGCCGTTCGCCTGCATGCGCCGCGCACGAAAAGGACGCGGCCATGCCAGGTACGAGGAACAAACGGTACAAACGGTTCAAGCTACAGTGGGACACCATTCGGCCATTTTCATACCACATGGGGTGCATCAACTTTTGCGCCTACAAACTCGGTTTTTGAAAGGAATTGTGCTGTTACTTTGCAAGTAAGAGTGGGTGGTGTTATCATAGTTGTCTTCACCGCTTTTAAAAGCGCGGGGATTTTCAAAAGAGACCAAGAGCTTTCCCTTTTGCCTCCAAACACATTTTCAAAGCGCAGACAAACTCACACTTGACTATACTAAAAGCTAAGGAACGAGTTGAAATGCAAAAACGAGTCAGGTAACAAAAACAATGGGATTTCAATACATTAGAAGATACCCTAAGCCTGACATAAACCTTGTATTGCTCTTAGTTTTGTACATACTGCTTACAAAAAGACTTGCTGTAAATAGGGAGCTTTCTACCTAAGCGATGCTTTAAGATTTTGTCTATCCGTTCCTGTGCATTTTACTTGATACATTACGTAGTTCGCTGTGGGTAGCGTTGAGTATTTGATCACCATATTAGAGAAAGCGCTATTAGATTGTTCGCGAGAGGCAACGTAAATTACTAAAACTTGTCTCTGTCGCACCACGTATCTTACATGGATACCAGGCACCTAAAATACGCGTTAAACTGCTACCGGACGACTTATTTGCTCAGGAACGCAACAAAGTTCTCATCATTTTTGCCTTAAACTAGCCTCGGATTGTGACATTATTCCGTTAAATGAATCACGTATCCTCGGTCTAAACTTTTCCCCAGGTTTGGGCCTTTATTCTTAGATACCCAGGTCCTAGCTGATCTTAGAAAAAAAAATTATCTAGCAGCGGTCACACTAAAAAGTCAGCAAGACCTCGGCACCGCAGCAACGACGCCCGGCAGTGGGTAGCACCGACGGCACTGTAACCACGCCAGGACTGCCACTACCGGACGGCCCCCGTCATTGCAAGACCAGCTGAAGGCGTTGAAAGCTGCCGCCCGTGCCGCGCGCAGGTTAAGCCATGTGGGTTCTACTGGCGGTGCTGAATGAGTACCGCCAGCGATAAAGCGATACCAAGGCTGGCGTTATTGGCGAACTTTTTGCATATCTAGTCTGCTTAACGCTGCACCAATCCTTGGTAAATACCAGATCTCTAGCATGAAGAACGGTCCCAAAATCCTCCCCGCGGTCCGACGCCGGCTGAAGCTCTGTGTAGAGATCGGTCGACGCGGCGGGTGACAGGGGCACAGTCCGGCACTCGTCACCCGAGAGTGGCGCCGCCTGCAGCGCTGACCATAGTCTAAAAACACACCTGATGTGTTAATGCATCTGCATGCCAAACGGTAACTAGGTATAGCTGTTTCGGATTTCAGCGGCGTCAGCTGCACAGGTGGGCAGGCAGACTAAATGATAGGGTGATTGATGCGAATGAAGACCCAGGAATGCTTCTTAAGTTAGATTTTGTGCTAGGCATATCCCCTTGTTATCCATTAATTAAATTTTCCGAATAATTAATGCAGAACATTGACGACCTGACAGCTAGAGACACATGTACCGCGGGAGTAAGGCCAA